TGCAAGAGTTTAAAGGACCAAAACAAAATTAGAATAGTACAACCTACTAACCAGTTAACATGACTACTATTAACTGATTATTTAACGTTAAAGTGAGCATAGCTCATCGATAATTGACATATATCTCCAATTAAAAGATTGTGAATTTAATCCTACGCCCCACATGTTGTACTAAAAAAAAGGGATTATTTGATAACTATTTATTAGAAAAAACACATATGTATCTCTAGTCTCTCTCTACGCCTTTCTCTCTTCTACTTACTCATCAAATAACAAATGGTGCGTACCAATTAGTATCTAAGTATTTTCCACACAATAATCCTAAAAGTTAAAAGGATACCAAAATGATTGAAACCCCAAATTATCCTAATAGAATTTATTTCCCAGATTGTGAGTAAGAAACCTTAAGCCATCAGAACTTTCACCAACATGGATGAAAATAGAGAGAGGGATCAGACATCAATAAGTACTCATAAAGTCATAACGAGCAAAAAGATGAATGACAGGACAGCAATTCTGACACCCATATCATAAATTGCAAAGGAGAGCATATGATTTGTCTAAAGCCAATTTGAACTCAGGACCCCAACTTGATTATGATGCAACAGCAAATCTAAAGTATCAATATATTCACATTAAGACCTCTTGAGTTGAGGGATGGCCCAGATGGATGGAAAAAAGGCCATTCAATTGTCCTGCTCCATGTGGCACTGCACCTCAACACACCATGGGGAGCCCTTCCTAAAGACACTACCCTAGTGTTCAACTACCTACCTTATTCTTCTTGTCATGAAAGCTTTTATGTTCATCATCAAGTTCAGAAAGAGTCGTCGAATTCGAGTCTGGGATGACTTCTACTGAGAGAATTTTCTAACATGTTGGGAAGGTTATAGAAAAGAATTGACAGTTAGATTGCAATTGAACTAGAGATAAGACGCTTTTCATAACATCTAACTTCATTGCGTGGGGTAGAAATGTCAACATGCCACAAATAAAATATGACCCCAAAAACATAGGAGGAATCGGATACTTTACACTGAAGTATGCTGCTGGGCTGGCTTAAGAGAGGTAGAGTTTGAAGATAAAGTGCTTCTTCTCATTCCAGAAACGTCTGTCATTGTTTAAGAAAGTACTTCGAACGCAAGCTATCAAGCATTTCTGCGTACTCAATAGGAACAGCCTCATCACAAAATACTTCATCCCAAATCTTGAGAAGATCTGTTTCACAAAGCTTTAGAATTAGAGTACAAATAAATAGAACACACACCATGATAAGTCCTAAGATTTTGGTAATTATTTATGGGGCGGTGTGTGGATATACATTTCAGTTCCTGACAAGATCTAATTTCTCAGAACTCATAGTCCATACTCCATAACATTCAAGTTTCTATAAGAACTTGTCCAATAAAAAATTTCTATCATCATTTTGGGGGATGTTATAAAACATGCTACGCTTGAAATATAGGAAAAATATCTATTAAATAAAGGTAACCATGCAAGAAGGGCGTAAAGAGGGAAGGGTTTCTACAACTTACCAAACTTTTCTGAGGATGGAAGACACATCATGAGTATGCCGAATCTTGGAACCTGTGTTAAATTTTCTAAAAAGTTGATAGCCAATGCCATCTCTTCACTGCAAATTGATAAGCCAGTATGGTCTGTTAACCATTGATGTTCTAAATGATATTCTAAATGTTCGCTGAGGACAAATTAGAAATTATCAACTTACGTGAAAAAGGAAGCCACGCACTTCACAATGTCTATTAACATTGGAGCCGTTAGTGCATTTTTGAATATCTGAGGCAACTTGGCTGGAGAGATGGCCTAATAAGAAAAACAATAGGGCAAAATTTTTTTTTTTTAAAATGTGTAAAAGAGCCGAATAAAATGCTAAGGCTCAATAGATTTCCCAATTCATTCATTTACTGCTATCAAAGTGAAATTCTTTGCTGCCAACGGCATGTCAAATTGTCGATATTGCTCGTTACCACAAATTGGAAAGAAGAATGTTTGCTTATACCGAAATATATCAGCCAATTGATGAGTCAGCACTCAACAGATAGAAAACTGGAGGCATCTATATGATCTACAATATTAGGTGGTCTTATTCTCTACATCTTAAATGAAATTATTCAATAAATGTGCTATCTGCAAAATTTCAAATCTAAATCATATGTAGCATTTCTCAAACTTTGGATTGTGGGAATTGTTGACTCCACTTAGATTCACTATTTTATACATATAGGATTCTAATTCCTTATATATTAAAATTTATTAGGTTTAAGTACTATTTTAATCTCTGACGTTAATTTATTTTGATTCATCTACTTTTAAATGTCTATTTTAATCTTTCTAAAAAGATAACATTTCAATTCTTCTTCTTAATCTATATCAATTGATAGATAATGTGACTTCAAACATGATAATATTAGTATGCATGCTAATTTGGATATATATAAAAGTCATATAAGTTGGTTAAGGTAATCACCGAGTGGGACACAGAAGGATTACCCATAGCTAGAAACAATTAATACGTACACGTACATTGAGGAGCAAAAAGGAGAATCCACCCCCACGTGAGGCTCGCATTTAATTAGCTAGTTGGTGAGATAATAGCATTTGGAGAATGATCACACTGATTTTTTTTTAAATGCTCATGATACACTTTTCTAGTTCAATTTCTAGAATGTATCTTACCAAAATGATTATTTTCT